TACGTACAGTCAGACATGGGTACCATCACTACTCAATTTTAACTTTGTTGTAGTCACCATTGAGCTGTATACCTCAGCACATAGTGCTATATAGTGTTCAGTAATACGAGGACAAGACTTGCAGAGGTCTCTAGCGGTAGCCTTATAAATGAATATACCTAGTGCTATGCAATACATTAATTGTTCATAGTCGATTAAAGTCAGCACTATAAAACAATAATGCACTTAATATAAACCATAAAATATAATAAATTTAAATTCAAAATTATGCTTCCGTTATCATTCTTAAATCATAAAGGATAACGTCTGTGGTCATAGCACCCAAATGCGTTGGGGCTATTCCACCTTTCAAGCAAAATCCAGACGCCGATATAAAACTTGCCAGCAACAAAGAGAATCAGTTAAGAGTTAGGAGTTGAGTGCTTGAACCAACAACGTCTCAACTTCAATTCCCTTTTGCTGTCTGTAGCCAGTTGTGGGAAAGCAGTTACCCTTAATATTTAGAAATAGCTTTAACATAGAATTAAACCGACCCGAAAAAATATTTTACAAAGTAAAACTCCCAACTTCCACCCTTTTATTTGATGTTATAAAAAATAGTAATAATATTCTGATAGTAGAACTAAGTTACTCTAAATTTCTACGCCAAGTACGATGTTCAATTGGAAATGCATATGTTTAGCTCATTCAGTAAAAGAATGTTACTAAGTAATTTTGAAAAATCGGAAGAGAGCTGTAAGGTTATTAATTGTAATATATAATTATTTCTGTTTGGTTCAAATTCTCAATTTTGTTATTGGTAGTATGATTTAATGGTAATATATGAAATGCAAAAAGCGTAAATACTTCTAAAGTGATGTAAAATATAGCAAAACTTTTATTAAATTACCCCTCACCCTGAATTTACTTTAGTTCACCTGGTCTATTAGTTTGGCTATGCCACTATTGTGAACGTAGAAAAATCGTTAGGGTCACGATTTTTAAGATGCAGTACAAAAAGAACACCTCCACTTGTCTGAACACGCGCATTGACAGCTTCTGTCCTTCTATTACAAACGTAACCTTATCACTAGTTCGTAGGGGTTGCAATACTGGGATTCCCCTCCTACGCTAATTGGGCTTCCTAAATCCCGGGATTTATAGAAAAGAATCGCGGGACTGATCACTCTCTTGTGTTTCATTCTCCTTTTCTTTACGCCATGCCAGATCGCTCTCTTGTGTTTCATTCTCCTTTTCTTTACGCCATGCCAGATCACTCTCTTGTGTTTCATTCTCTTTTCTTTACGCCCTGCCGGGTCATCTCTTGTGTCTCATTCTCCTTTTCTTTACGCCATGCCAGATCACTCTCTTGTGTTTCATTCTCCTTTTCTTTACGCCCTGCCAGATCACTCTCTTGTGTTTCATTCTCCTTTTCTTTACGCCATGCCAGATCACTCTCTTGTGTTTCATTCTCCTTTTCTTTACGCCATGCCAGATCACTCTCTTGTGTTTCATTCTCTTTTCTTTACGCCCTGCCGGGTCATCTCTTGTGTTTCATTCTCCTTTTCTTTACACCTTACCAGATCACTCTCTTGTGTTTCATTCTCCTTTTCTTTACGCCCTGCCAGATCACTCTCTTGTGTTTCATTCTCCTTTTCTTTACGCCATGCCAG